CTCTAATGGACCTTAGACTTGTCTTTCTCTACAGTTGTTGTTTAATAAAATGTCTTAGGATGCATTCTAGCTCTCAAAGGTTTATGATACCTAGTAAAAAATATAGAATGTCTCATAGATACTTTTTCTCTATACTTTATAAAAGAATAACTGTAATTTTAAGTTGAGAGTGGGAAATTGACCTTCTAATCCCCTGGCACTGCAGTATCTCTCTCTTACAAACCATTTTAGTGGGACAAAAAGGCTCACACGCCATTTGTCCAGCAATTTTTACTTATCATTACAAATGAAAAGAAAAATTAAAGAGCTCATTAACGTAAAAATGTTGCTTTTTAAAAAATCAGATGTTAACGGAGTTGATCATAAACACTGTAAATACATTTTTGTACCAGAAACCATAGATTCTGGTATTGTAAAAGGATTGACAGCAATAATTTGAGTGTATCTGAGACTACAAGTTTATAAAACATTCTGCACTTAAAGAAAATCCCATTTGCCCCTTAATCACCAGAGTATTGTTTGTATTAGATGAAGAGTGATGAGGGCCTAGACACAGATCAAGAATCCCTAATTTGCTTCTTCATTTGGTTTGCTTTGCATTACACAATGCTGCATCTGTAGTAGAATGAGATGAACCACCATGTACTTCCATCATTGCTGTGAACTGTTGGCATACCACGTACTCTTCATACTGAAATGTATCTTTAAGGAAGAACTGCTGAAATGGGCCCAGCATAGTAGCCTAGCAACTGCGCTGCAACCCCATATGGGTACCAATTCTAAAACTGGTGGTCCAGTTTCCTGTCTAGCTCCCTTATGGCCTGGGAAAGCATTCGAAGATGGCCCAAAGCCTTGGGACCCTGCACCTGCATGAAGAATCTCCTGACTCATGGCTTCAGATGAGCTCAGTTCTGTTGCGGCCACCAGCGGAAGGAAGATCTTTTTCTCTGTCTTGCCTCCTCTCTGTATATCTGGGACACTGTGGAACAGCAGGTTAAGGTAGCATTTGGGATATCCTCTTTCCATAACAGCGTGCCTGGCTGGGGTCTTGGCTGCTATGTGTTTCCTTCTAACACATCTGGGAGACAGCAGATCATGGTCTGCGGGCTCACATTTCTGTCACTCATGTAGGAGATTCAGATGGAAGTTCCGGCTGCTGGCTTTAGTCTGACCCAGCCTGGTTGCTGGGGGCACTTGGTGAGTGAGCAAGTGAATGAAAGATCTCCCTCTCTCTCTACCCAGCCCCTGCTCCATCTTTCTCTGTCATTTTACCTTTCTAATAAAAAGTGAATTTGGAAAAAAAAAAGGCAATCCTTCTAGAAGGATTCAACCCTAGTCTGTAATTCTCAAACAAAGAAATGTAGTAAGGAAAGACTGAAAGAAAAATAGCTATATGCAAAGATAGCATTTATTTCATGGAGTCTGATATGGGCCTTATAGAAAATGATTATAGATGCACAACCCTGTTCTAGGAACCTGTTATGCCTTAGAACACTGATGGAAGGCAGGCCTTGGGATTAACCAATCTCAAGTCCTCAGGCACAGTGAGTTTTTAAAAATATATATTTTTTATTGCATTTCATTTTATAACAACGTTTCATAGGCTCTGATGTTCCCCCATTCCCTCTCTTTTCCTCCCCCCGTGGTGGATTGCTCCACCTTATTGCAGTATTACAGTTCAAATCCAGTCTTGTTTCTTTCATTGCAAGCATGTGCCATGCATAGAGTCCAGTATCTTATTGCCCAGCTGAATTCAACAGTTTCTTGGGGAGACCAACTCTGGTCTGAAGACATAGCTGGCAGAATATCATTCCGATCAATTAAAAGCCATAACAAAACATCAACAACAGTTTCTAACATTATGGGGTTAATTAACCTTGTATTGAGTGACTGATACGTTAGACAATGTGCATTCTTAACCACATCCTGGAGGCACAGTGATTTTTACCTAATAACACAAGATTGCTTTCAGACACTAATGGGGGGACACACTTTGGCTATTCCCAATGACTGGAACGTCTTAAAATGCAATTAACTGTTGATGAAGCAGAATGCATAAGAGGTACATGATGTAAAATACTGGTTAAAGACAATGAGCTCTGTGTGGAGCAAGCTGATGTACTGATGTTATAATAATGGAGAACAATAACTGCCTGCATGGTATTAGTATCCCTTACAGAAGCACCTGTCACCTAGAAGGAGCGTACTTCCTCATTTCCTACCCAAAGCAAAGCAAGTAGGTTCTGATCCTAGCAATTGATCTACTCCCAGCATTTCTAATTGCTTTCCTATTGGCAGACATCACAACCACTTGTTATAAAATACATTATTATCAGAATACATTACAAATAGTATGGAATACATTAATATCAGAAATAATAAAATATTAGTTTCAGGGCCTGTATTCTCTTTAACCATGAGCTACTGTGATCAGTTGAGACTCAGACTCCTTTGTGGGTGAAGCTGTGAGAGGCTGACAAGAAGAACCAGATAGCTTAAATAGACCCCATAGGCCCTAGAAAGTCTTTTCACTCTCAGTTACTTTGGTGAATTTTTGGTCAAGATGGCACATGCATCACTCATGAATCAAAGACAATGGCCTATTCTCCTGGTGTGTGGACAGCACAGAATTTCTAAAGCTGAGTACCCCATTTTACAATACTGGTTGACAGCATGACAAAATAAGGTAAGAAGCGGGGGACGCTGTTACTTATAACAGGTTTAGCAGACTAGTGTCTGCCTCTGTGTACCATTTTCTATGGCATGTCTTGGTATCTCTTGCATGAAATCCAGATGTATTTTCTTATTCTAGGTAGAGTCTACTAGGGGGAAGTGCAAAAATTCAAAACCTAGACTTTGTGTGTAAATGGATGTGTATGCATGTATAACAAATTTAAAAGCATTTGCCGACTACTATATCCGTTCCCATGTTTACAGAGTTTGTGGGAATTCAATGAAATATCACCCCTAAGGCATTAATCACTGCATACCCTTGGGAACTATCTTTGTCATAATTACAATGAAAAAATAATCAGTATCCTTCAAAAGTTGGGACCCACACAGCAAAGGTAAAAACACCAAGTGCCTGGGAATGGAATCAAGAGGGAGGAAAAGGGGCGTTGTTGTGTTTGCTCTAAGCTCTGGCCCCTGTTAGGTATGATATCTGGGTTCTGTCTTTGACTGCCACTGTTAGATTTTGTAATTTAGTGCTTTTGTGGTTTCATGGTCTCACATGAAAACAGGAATAATACCTCCTCCCACAAAATGCCAGAAGGATCTGCTGTATGAGAAACCTACAGTGAGGTCAAAACTGGAGGCCAGCAATACAAAATACGGTTGCTGGCATTATGAAGAGTAAAAATGCAGAACCGAGTTTCAGATGCTTTTCAGGGACTGTAATCAAAGGCATTAGCCTTGCCACTGACTTCCAGGACCTCTTGAGCTGGAGCCTCTGTGTTTAATATCAGTGGGCTGGAGACAAATATCTCGGTCCAGGAAACCAATGATCCTTCCCTAATGGACCGTCAATACAAAGGAATGCTTGTCATTTTGGATCTGCAGTGAAGGTTCACTAGTAAATGCTTGTTAAGCATTCCATCAAGAAAAATATGGACATGAAAAGCGTTCATGAAAATGTTCCCCTCCTCCCAAATAACCACCCCCCACCTCAAACTCATTTGCCGAGGTGCAGTGGGTCACCAAGTTCCTCTTCAATTAACTTCGGTGAGGGTTGCATTACATTTTGTAACCCTTTTTCTCCCAGGGGGAAAAAAATAAATTCTTCTCCAATCACCATCTGCTTGTCTACCTCTCCGTGCTTCAGTTGGTGTCGGCCAATTCCAACAGGAGGGCAGAGGCTCAGAGGTAGGCGGGAGTTTGACAGCTCTCTCAGAACCAGGACAAATGAAGGTGCTTTCCACTGCGTACAGCCAACATGCTTCCCCTGGCTCAGTGTGAAACACTTCCAAACGACTGTACTAGTCACTTCCCACCCAACATATCCAAGAACGCTTCTTTAAAGGGTTATTTTCTTCAACACAAATGTTGGTATGTGATGGAAACCCTCTTTTCCTTCTATTTCTCCTAAATACGACTGCCCAGGAAAATAGATCAATTCTTTCTGATTTTTAAAAACTAACAAGAAATGCTTAGTGGGTAAAAGGCAAGGAGCAACATTTACTAAATGCACCAATACCAGGAAGGAGGTCGAGTTAAAATTGTATTTGGATGTTGGAGTTTACAAAAAAAAAATTAAATTCCATTACTGGAGACAAAACATTGTGTGTGTGCATTAGCTCTTGGCTAGATAGCCAGTGCTCGTGCACACAGTATAATTTTTATATAGAAATGGATGCCTTACAAATCGATGCTCTCCAATCTTAGCAATGCCTTCACTACTGCTCAGAAATCCTGTTATTCATCTGATTTCCGACCGCAGTGCCTCGCTCCCTCCACCCGCGCTGAGAGCGGCTCCCAGCCCCAACACACTCTAGTTAAGGGTTTATTGCCCAAGGCTTCCACTGCCACGCATTTTACACATACGTCTTTGGTTTCATCTCTGATGGTGGTAGCACCTCTCTGTGTGTAGTCCTGCAACGCTAGTTTTTGATCTTTGCAATGTACCTGTTTCTTTTGCTTCTTTGTTGCGGGGACTTAGCCTAATGTTTTTGCCTCTTGAACTCCACAGGCTTCCTGGAAAAATGTCTGAGATGGTGTCAAGACACTGCTTTGTTAAAGTGGAACCTCCGGGGTTTATGGTCTGCATTGTAGGATCTGCTCCTACCCGTGCAGGAACATTCCAGAGTATGGCCTAGCTGCCAGTTGAAGTTGAAAGCCCTTCTCTCTAACACCTTCAGTGACATCCTCCTGGATTTCTATACCTGCCAAAACATGTATTCAGAAATACTTTCTCTTCAAACTGATAATTCTTTTTTTTCAGTGTTAAAAATTCTGTAACAGTGTTATGTGGATGCCCTCTGATTTCCCACCTCCATGCATACCTCAAACCCTCATGATCTTTCTCTGGGATCATAGGCAAGACATTTTCCTTTTCTTCCACGGTAAGTCTGTCCAATGCTCTTCATGTCTTCCAGTGCCTGAAGGTAGATGAACACGGACAGGCATGAGGGAATCATGAGCATTTATTTTGTTTCTACATTTTAACCAATATCCTTCTGCCACCAACTCCAAAATCCAGGAATCTATCCCGTTGTATTTCCAGAATTCCAATTTCCTATTGATAACTTTACTGATGACTTCCACTTGTTTATCTATTATCTCTCTGTTCTCATTTTAAACATTTATTTGTATTTATATGGAAGTCATGCAGAGGTGGTAAAAGGTCATTCTTGTTTTTTCTGGCTCACTTCATGGATGCTCACCAACAGCTGGGACTAATCCTGGGTGCAGCCAGGAGCTTGGAATTTAGGCTGGTTTCCCCACGTGTCAGAGCAGACTTGGACCATCACCTGCTACCTCCAAAGGGGGTGAATCAGCAGGGAACTGGAACTGGAAGCAGACAGACTCAAACATGGATACTCCAGCATGAGATGCAGGCTACCCAAGTACTGTCTGAGTTGTTATACTACTAAACACTCCCAGAGATGACCTTATGCTATAAACTTTGCGGATCAGCTTCTTTTCAAAACCCTACCTCCCTCGTCATGTCAAATTCTAGTAATGACATTATAACAAATTTGTCATCACATGTTAGCGTTACGTCTTTTTCTCTTGTGGTTACTGAGAACTCACCTTCTTCCTGTCTCCTCTTTAACCTGTCTCCTCCTGCTGCCAGGGACATCTTCCTCTTACCTGTGCTGTTGAAGCTGTCTTCACAGGGTCTCTGAGTACTGATGTCTCTCTCTCTGCAATTTGTCCTCCACATTTGCTCTTAGAATTTTATTTCTCAAGGTCAGTGATCATACTATGCTTTCACATTTAAGAATATTCTGTGCTCTTTGGCCCAACAAATCAAACACAAAGCTTGCTTCATTTAGTTCAGGGTCTTCTGCAATCTGTCCGCAGGTTAGAGTTTCCCTCCTATCTCCCACTATTTCCTTTTACTCATCTTATCATTGGGTTTTTTTTTCTATTATTTTTCTAACTGCTAACATTGATATACATTTCAAAATCTAGTTCACGACTTTAAAAAACACCTTGTGTACAAAGGCTTCTCCAGATACCTCATTAATAGCTCCTTCCTTCTTGTTCTTTTGCGTAAATCTTCTCTAACCCTTTTCTTTGCCCCTGATCAGTGTGTGGGGAGTGACTTGAGTGTCAGTGTCAGGCTGCCATCTTCAAGATGTGCCCAAAGTCTCAAGATGAAAACAAACTTGGAGACAACAATAATTTACCTCCCTCAATGGAGATAGAATATAAAATGTTTCTGATAGCTTTCAAGCGAATTGTCATATTCATGGCCCTGTGTCCCGGTCTTTACCAGGCGGCTGAGCAGACTGCAGTTGGTGATAAGGCTGGACAGAGAACGCTCTCTAGGAGAGGCAGGTCGCATGCAATGCAGTGTGGTTACAGAGAAGCTGTGTTTGACCCAGTGAGACTTGCAGGAGCAGGAACCCAAAAGAGAGCAAGGTTAATGACTGTCTATGAAGAGAATTGGGAAACACAGATTAGAGTTATATTTCTACAACAAACAATGTGAAACTAACCAGAGCAGCAGCATAAAAACAGAGACCTTTCTTGCCAAGTTACAAAAGATTCCATCTGATAGACGAATACACAGACAACGGTGAACAAGTTTCCTTCCTAGGCTCCCAGCTTGCCTGCTTGCTTGCTTTCTTTGTCTTCCTTCCTTCCTCCCTTCCTTCCTTCCTTCCTTCCTTCCTTCCTTCCTTCCTTCCTTCCTTCCTCCCTCCCTCCCTCCCTCCCTCCCTCCCCTAAGAGAGATAGAAATTCAACATGAGACACTCATTCTGAGATTGCTTTAACCATGTCTCCCTCGCTATGGCTTCTTTCCCCTATGGCTTTTTCCCACTATGGCTACCTTTCTCAGGAAAATTTGAAAACATGAGAGAAGGAGGAAAGATGTGCTTGCTATTGTTTATTCAGTGTTTCAAAGGTAACACAGCTAGATGTTTATACAGAAAGTGAGGCACTCAGATGAGAGTGACTGACTTGAAGCTCCGCATCTCAATCAATAATGCCTTAAATGAGTGCTTTGAAGCCTAAATTAACCTCTATAATAATGATTTATTCATTAAAAAATAATTTCTTACCTCTACTTTTAAAAAGAATAAAGCAAATGTGAATTATCTATATTTTATGATACTGAACACTTTTTAACTTATTTATTACTTCTCCTAATATGTTTGAAAAGGGAATAAAGTTAAAGATGCGAACAGCCTCCAATCCGGTGGTTTATTTCCCACATGCCTGCAATTCAAACCAAGTCTCCAAGTGTGGATGAAAAGAACTCAGTATCTGGGGACATCATCACTGCCTCTGAGGGTCAGAATTAGCAGTTAGGCACTTTAGGATGAGACATGAAAATATCTGGTGAAATGCAAGTCTCACTGCTTTGCACCGAGTATACACTAGCTAAAGGAAAATATGGATATTTGCAAGTGTCTTGAATCCAAGCTGCTAATTGCATTGTAGTCTACTGTAGGTAGGTACACAGAGAAGTGATGCAGAGCTGAAAATGGGGCTTAGAGAGGGACTCTTAAAACACACTTCAGCCCCAGTCTTTCTAAACCAGCACCTTTCTTTGCAGGTCTTTCGAAACAAAATTTAAACAGCAGGAACCTCTGTTCCACCAAAGAAATGCTCCAACTCTACAGCCCACCTGTGGTGACATACGCATGAGCACTGTGAGGTCAACCTGGCTTGCCAGGTGCAAATTCATGGCCCTCTGAGAGTCTCGCTGACACCCTGTGAAGGCATCAAGCCACTGCTTCCCCGCTTGCCCTGCTCTGGGAGAATTACCTTCATTTTCTGCCTATGTTTCTCTGCCACAAGTCAAATCAAGCTTCAGAATTCATTAATTACTGGGACTGCAGAGTACCCCGAATTCTCCTACTCACCTAATCCTGTTCTGTCTCCCTAGCATGTCCGGCCTCTCTCGGTGACAATATCATCTAGTGATTGTTCATGAGAACTGGTTCTCTTAATATATTTTAAACATTAAGAAGCTATTTTATTTACTACAACATTCACAATATGTACAAATACTTATAGATGAAGTAAACACAAAGTACACATACGGGTGTCTACTGTCAGAATATGCAATTAAACAAATGTAGGAAATGGCTACAATCTCGCTTATCTACCACTATTTTGAACACAATGCTTTATATTCCTTCTCAAATATTTAAAACACTTCCTAACTGCCCAAAATGAACATAAATAGGGCCGGCATTGTGTTGTAATCGCTGGACATGCCAGAATCCCGTATAACAGCTGGGTGTGTCCCGCCTGCTCTGCTTCCTACTAAGTTCCCTGCTCATCTGCCTGAGAAGTCAGGAGAAGATGATGGCAATGTTGGGCTCCTGCCACTCATGTGAGGACCAGGCTGATCCAGATTCTTCACTTCACCCTCATCCAGCCTCAGTCTTTGCGGCTATTTGGGGAGTGCATCATTGGATGGAAAATCCCCTCTCTGCGTTACTCTGTCTTCCAAATAAATCCTTAAATGTAAATGTCAAAATATGCTCATCTCAATAAACAGACTCGCACTGTTGCAAATTTCTGTTTTTCTTCCTCTTGTTGATTTTGTTTTGTGTCTTTTCATTTAATGGAATGTGTAATAACTGTGTAACAAAGACTCTTACATCCAGATGTGAGGATAGAACACAATATGCATCTCTACTTTCAGATCAAAGATGGACTCCCAATGAAACCGTTAAGCACATCTTGAAAATAGGATGTTGGACTCTCTGCTATTGCCCCTGGTGATGGACATACAACTGTTTATGAAGAACTATACTATCATAATAATATAGGGGAACTCGGTGTGGGGCTAGGGGATCAGGGGAGAGAGGATAAGGGAAATCCTAGGGCCTATGGAACTGTATCATAAAATATTAATAATAATAAAAAAATGAAAAAAGACACAGATTCACAGTGAGAAGGAGATGTAGGAGAAAGATCCTGCATGTGTGTTAGTTCATTCCCTGAGCAGCTGCAACGGCAGGGAGCTGAGCCGATTTGAAGCCGAATCCTAGAGCTTCTTTCAGGACTTCCACTTAGGTGCAGGGTCCTAAGGTTTTTTGAATCATTCCTTAACTGCCTTTCCAGGCCACAAGCAGGGAGTTGTGTGGGAATTAGAGCAACAGGGATGTGGTGCCCATATGGGATCCTGGTGTGCAAGGTGAGAATTTAGCCACTGAGCTGTCATGCCAGGCCCCATAACTTTTTAAATATTTGATTTGAGCAACAATCCGTGATGACACAGACAGACATGCCTTGGTGATGCTACCAATCTTTTTGTTAGCTCTCAGCTTTCTTCTCTATCGCTTATTTTATATTCACTGTTTCTCAGCACTGAACTTATTTTCTCATGATCTACATTAAATTGGGCCAGTGGGAGAATGAAGGGTGACAGGATGGACCCGTTTGGGTCTTTCTCTTCTCTCTGCTTTGTTTGGAGTCTCTAGAAAGATAGGAAGCATAATTTGTTACAGCCCTATGAAATATGGAAATAAAAATTTAAGAATTTAAAAATAATGTGGCTTGTGTTTGGCGCAGCTATGGAATTGTCTGGCATGATCACGTCCCAAATCCCATAAGCATAGTTTGAACCCTGGCTCTGTTCCTGATCCTGGCTTCCTGTTAATGCTCACCCTTGGGGGCAACATGTAATGGCTCAAGTAATTGGTTCCTTGATGCCACCAGAGACCTGGGTTCTGGCTTAACTTAGGGCTGGCCACGCCTTGGTTATTATGGGCAAGTGGGGAGTGAATCAGCAGGTGGAAGCTCCTCTCTCAATTACAAACAATATTAAAAATAAGCTTAATTTAAACATTTCAAGATGGGAACGTCAGAATTTCAAGCAGGCATTATGTCATTTTTGCAGACTTGGGCTCAGAGTGGCTACACACATTTCGTGCTAAGATAGAACTCTCTTTGGAGAACCATCTAT